TGACAGCATGGTGCAGCCGGTACCCTGGATTGATTTGTCTGGCTGCCCTTCTCCCCACTTGGTAAAGGTCAGAGGTCGGTTCTTCATATCAGTCAGAAAATTCCCCTCTGCTTTGTTATTGTTGACGTTGATCCAGGCTTCTTTGTGAATGTCCCCAAAGAACTGAGTCAGTTTGCTGTTCTCCTCCTCGTCCTGGGGCAAAGCCAGCTCCAAGCCTTGTTGTGAGCAGAACTCAACGGCGCTGGAGAAAGAGTCTCTCTTCTTGTAGGACACAAAGTATTTCTGACCAACTTTCCGGACAAAGTCGTAGGATATCGCTGAAGAGAGGAAAATAACTCTCAGAAAATCAGGATTAAATCACTAAGTAAAGACATTTGTTTTGCATAAAGCCCAAATCGTTTTATCATCTAGCCACTGACACGTACTACAGTAGCACTGATTTCCCCTCGTGCCTAGGTGAAACCCATGGTCAACTTGTTCTTTATCAGCATTTCACTTAGTTAAAGTTCCAAATCCAATGTTAAAGAAGAACACGTTTGAAATATTTGTTATTTTCTACCTTGCCTATTCCAAACAAAATCTGAACTACAAATATAAAAAAATACTATTCTGTCCTCAGCTTAATGAGATGAGTGTTACCCAATAGAGCACAATTTCTCGCTCATTGCTCCTTTCTCGAACACCCTTGCATAGAAGAAGGGCCACATACTTCGAATGTACTGAGGTAATGGTACAAACTTAACACACACAACATCTGTGAATCCTTGCAAATAAGAGCTGTAATAATCATGATCCACACTCACTCACAACATCGTAGTCCTTGAATAGGAAACTTACCCAAGTCTAACTTAGCATGGCTCTTCATTAACTTGCCACCGTCCTCGATAAGGGAACCAACGTTTTCGGGATAAAGAAGAATAACCTCAGTTACCAAAGTTGCTTTACATTTGTGCTAAATGATGTGCAATCTCTACAAAAGAAAGTCGTATTGTTTCCTTTACCTTTACAATACTGTACACCTTACAATATAATGCAAACCAGTTTACAATCCATTGCACTAAATACAAGCACTATGAATACATACCTTTAATTCAAACTATATTGATTCACATCTGTGCTTATTTAAAGGGGTTTTGTGTTAAAATGTGTAGTTTACATCTGATTTGAGATAATGATGACTTGTGAAACTTGATAACTCATTTATGAATAATTATTTCTGCCCTAACCCTTCCTTTGTAATTATAATAAAGATCTTAATCTTTTTAAAGTTGTATATACGTCAAAATCCAAGGGGCAAACATAACGGACACATGACATCTAGTTTCCATTTGGACTTGGGTTTGGATATATCTCTCTTTAACATACTGTATTAATTCGGAGAAAAGTAAGATCAAGCTTTTAAATGCCCTAAACTGAGAGTAAAACAAAAAGGTGTCCAAATCTAACGTCCATTTCCTTGTGCATAAAGCGAACAAGTTCTTACAAACAAATATTTCAAAAAAAATTGAACTACTGCTGAACTGTTATTGTTTACTTTTAAAACATACTTACATTTTCTCTTAAAAAGAAAGAAATCACAGTTTTCACACATACCAACGCTCCCAGGGGCTTCAGGTGCTCCAGGTAGTCCATGTACTCCAGGTGATCCACGTGGTCCAGGTGCTCCAGGTGGTCCAGGTACTCCAGATGGTCCAGGAAATCCAGACATCCCTGTATCCCCTGAACAGCAGGTAAAAATAAATTAAACTAGATCAAAAAGCCCAAGTGACACCACACAAACAAAATGTTAGATCGATGACATAAACATTTAAAAATCAGCTGCAACCTGAAGTGAAATGGTTCATCTTTCAGGTGGAACAAGTTTTAATAGCACAGCATGTCTGTTGGTTTGTTATGTTTACAAATTTGACATTATGATCTAAGGTGCTCTTCTGAGCTAACTTGGCTGACAAAGAGCATCGGGTGTCATGGTGTACAAGGAAGACCTGGTGTAGGAAGGGTGACATGCAACTGTCTATCTTTACAACCCTTGCTAGGATTAATTTTGTTTCTAATTTCTTACATAATAAAAAAAAAAGCACTTGCAATTTAGCTTTGAGCTGTGTATTTTGGAGTGTTGCACTCCCGTTAACATCTGTTCAGCCGGTATTGTTTGTTACTTTGTCAAATTGTTTTTTTTTGTCATCGTGGAATAATATGGTCATGGAGACAACTACTGTAGTGTGAACCACCAAAGAAGCAGTTTTCCCAGGTGATCATATATGTCCATCTGTTTTCCGTGGACAGAATTAATCACCTTGATAGGCCTCTGGGTCGGGAGCAGAGGTGGGAAGTAGTCGAGTACAAATACTTTGGTACAAGTACATTTTTCTGATATCAGTACTTTACTCCACTAATTATTTGTCTGGCGACTTTTTACTTTTACTTCTTACATTTTTAACACAAATACCTGTACTTTCTACTTCTTACATTTTCAAAACAGGTTCGTCACTTTAGTTTGAATGTGTGTTTGGTGGCGTGATCATTATTATTTAGAGTCATTGCGTGCCTGTTGATTTGAACACAATCTGTGTATCCATCATTTCCTGGTCTTCTCTAAAGAAGATCGACCAATGAAAACGTTGTCATGTTGCCGTTGTTCAGCATCGAAACATTCATTAGCTAACAATGACATTATTGTTCTATTAATATAAAGGGAGGTCAGGTACTCTTTAAAACAGCTGCGAGTTATGGGTACTTTTTACTGAAGTACATTTTGAAGCCCATACTTCTTTACTTTTAATTGAGTAAAGAAGTGTAGTCAGTACTTCTACTTTTACCAGAGTTTTTTAAAACATGATTATCTGTACTTAAGTAAAGGATGTGTGTACTTGTGCCATCTCTGGTCAGGACACAAAGTCATGGTCTATCTTTCCCTGCATGCTGAAAACTGCCTTTTCAGACTACTCCTTGACATCCAATGGTAGGACTAATTTCCCTCTTATTTCTTTAAAAAAACATGAAATGGAATACATCCCGATTGTAGTCAGGTCAGAAAACAATGTTTAGAAACAGTTGTTGGTATAGTCAATGACACCAACCTTTTTTACCTTTCATACCCGGGATACCAGGATATCCAGGATTTCCTCTTTCACCTTTGGGAACAGGAACATCTGCCATCTGACTGTAGCCAGTGGTAGCCATCAGACAGAGGACGCAGAATGGGAGACACAGCCTCATCTTCTGAATGCTGAACTCAAATCCTTTTCAAACACAGTAAATCATTTTCAAAGTTTTCAGGCTTCATATGAAATAAACTTCCTCATAATTTAAAATACATTTATACAAAGATTATTAAAGCAAAAGTTATTCACTTCACAATTAAGACAAAAATAAACTTGCCAAGTATTGCAAATGGTATCTTGTTATAACATTTATAAATGTATTTACTTTTTAATCTAAGTATACAATATTTACTATAAACATATAGTACAGGGATTCAGAATATGTCAATGATGATAATCTTGTTGAAAAACCAAAAAGAACTCACAGTATAAACAAAGAGTGATCTGGATGTGCTGTTTCTTTGCTGCTGGCAAAAACAAAGTTGCAAAGAAAAGATTTTGGTCAAAAATGCAAGTCTTCAGTCCAGTGGAAATTAAAGCTGGTGGACAGCTTTTTATTGGACATGACAGAGAAAGGAGAAGTAGATCCTCCCTCTGCTCTGGGAAAACAGAGCTAAGAAACAACAAATCCACTTTGAATTTCTTTTAAAACACATGATTTGTCCTGGTCCTTGCCAATTTCAAGTTGCATGATAGTGGGGGGGATATGGCCATAATCTTAAATAGCGGTATATGTTGTTTTATATCAGGGTAGCACCAACTCAAAATGTAGTAGTTGTTCCTGAAATAATATAGTCACATTTTATTTATTTTATTTTATTATTTAAGTCACACAAGACAATCCTTGAGATAACAAACTTAAAAGTGGATGCTCTAGTCCAGGGGTCGGCAACCTTTTTCATATGAAGTGCCATTTAAAAAAAAAATGTTTATCAGCGTGAGAACGATCGAGAATTATCAAC